GGGATTTCTTCTAGTAGTGTTTGTAAATAGGATCTCATGTCCACATCTTGTACAGCAATTAACCACTAGGAAGAATGTATGCAATGTGTAAATTATTGAAACTGTCCTACCAATTTGATTTGAAACTGTCTCATTGCTATTTGTTTCTCAATAAAATTATGGAAAAAAAAAAGAATTTGGTCTAATTGCCAAATAATGCACATACATTAGTTACACTCTAATACTGCAATAGCAAACAATACAAAAATGTCATTTTCAGAAATGTCCTTGTACAACGACAACAAAGACTATAAAAGATCTGACAACAAATTTAAGAAAACATTTGCAAAAACCTTACATAAAAGTTATGAGCCAAGAACATGGGCAGCCTATCTGCAATCTCAGTTACTTGGGAAGCTGAGGCAGGAGGATCTTCAATTCAAGGTCAGTCTAGGCAACTTAATGAGACTTTGTCTTAAAATATAAAGGGCTGGCAATATAGTGGTAGAGTGTTCCTCAGTTCAATCCCTGCTCCCCTCCCTCCAAATATGAAGTCTCACCAAAGCATATAAAAGGTATTTTTAAAAGGTAAATATATTTTTCAATGGGAATATCACAGAGATGTTAATTGTTCATGTAGTAAAAAAAATTTAAAATTCTGTAAATTTAATGTATTTTTAAAATCAAAATTCCCGAAGGGTTAAAAAAAAAAGGAATTTACTGAGTTTGATCCCTGGCACCATCAATCAATCAATCAATCAATCAATCAATCAATCAATCAAAGAAAGGAATTTGACAGTGTGATACCTATACTGTATGGAGTAGTAAGAGATCAAAAATAGCCAAAGTATTTTAAAGAATTAGGATGGTTTTTGCAAATAACCCTTCTTGTGAAACTGTATTAATTAAAATATGTGGTATGAGTATAGGGAACAACAAAGAATCAAAAAAACTGAAAAGAGAGATCCTGAAAAAACCAGGAGTGCAGGCCCGGCGTGTGAGTGAGACCACGCAGGCCTGCAGATCCTGAATAGACCAGGAGCACAGGCCTGGTGTGTGAATGAGCGTACCCAGGGCCGCCGGATCCTAACTAGACCCAGAGTGCAGGTCCGGAGTGGAATCCTTCAGCATAATTCCCTGCAAAGAGGCTAGAGGCAAGACCCACCCAGCTGATTCAGGAGCAGAACATCTTGCCAGAGTGACTCAAAGGGTTCAACTCCAATGGCTGCAGCAGAAAGAAGTGGAGCACAGCAGCCAGACCCCAACCAGATCCAAGCAACACCCACCTGGAGGAATCTGAACTTCGTAGATTCGGACCTGGTGCTAAGGTAATAACTCTATCTAAGCCCTACACCAAAGGTCAGAAGACAGTGGTATACAAAATGACAAAGAGAAGGAACAAAATGCAGTCTCAGGCCCCGAGTCCACCCAGTACAATTGCAGAAGACACTAGCATTGAGGAAACTGGAAATCACACACCGGATATCTCTGAAATAATAGCATTGGAAGTAAAGAAACAACTGCACAAAAGTATAGAAGAAATCAGATCAGAAATAATTTCTGAACCAAAAAAATGTAGTAATAATTATAATCAAAGAAGTACTAAGTGCTTCTAAAGAATACACTGATTAAAAAAAAAAAATAGAGCAGAAAAAAACTGAAAAGAATCCACAAACAAGATCCATGCGTATTTGTGAGTTTCATGCACTTCAGTATGACTTAAAATATCAGTAAGAAATCATAAAAAGCTACATGGACTATTAGCCATTGTGTGGGAAAATAATATAAACCTCTCTTGATCAACTTATAAAAGTAAATTCCAGATGTTTTAAAACCCTAAAATGTAAAAAGCTAAAATATAAAACTTACATGAGTGAAATCCTCTGTGCCATCAAAAACAGGAATGGAAATAAGACTCATGCACAAACTTAAACCGTACAGAAAACTACTAATAAATTAAAAAGAAGTGCCTAAAATTCAAGCTGAAAGATATGTCAGGATAGATTGGAAGAAGACATCTTCCCACATATAAAGTCAAAATGAGAAAACAGAAATTAGAACTAAAACTCAGAAAAAAACAGGGGAAATAAAGCAATAGAAAACAGGCAAATTATATGAACACATACTATAAATGATGAAACATGGAAAAATGGTCAAGGGCATGAGTAATCAATGACAGCAAATACTGGCAAAAATTACAAATATCAAGATGTAGGAAAACAGCAAATTTCAAATGTTGTTGAGGAAAACAAATATTTAGGAACCAAAAGGGCAATACAGTATTAGAATTAAGCTACTCTGTGACCTATATACAATCTCATTTCTAAGTATAGCACTTAGAGAAACCTCACATGGACATAACAAGACATATACAAGAAACAAAAAGATAGGTGCAAGCATGTACACTGTTGCATTGTTTATGATAGTAAAAGACTGAAAATATTCTAAATATCAATAGAGAAACACATTGGCAAATATACTTAATGAACTACTGGATGTCTATTAAGGTAAATAAGTAGAACTGCATGTATAAAAATTAATTTTAAAAAGCAGTGACAAAAGCAATTTGCAATAGGATATGTACTACATAATCACTGATACAAATTTTTAAAAAATAAACTGTATCAAAGCTTTTTTTCCCCTCTGTATTGAAGATTGAACCCATAGCCTTACAAATGCTAGGCAAATGCTCTACACCATTAAGCTACATCTCCAACCCTATGCTATGTTTTATAGACATATACATATACAGGAAAAGCTAAAATCATGGATTAAAAGGATAAACACCAGCATCACATTAGTGGTAACCATGGAAGAAAAAGGGGAAGATAAAAGTGTGCTTTACAGTTGGTTGGTTTGTTTTATTATGATACTGGCAGACTAAAAGGAGAAAAGTACCAAGCTATATCCAAACCCTTTCCATTTTTATTTTT